TCTGACCTCGGATGAGATTGCAGGCTCACGAAATACGAACGAGACTGCCGTCTCACGTTCCGGTCGCCGAGTACGGTTACCCGTACGCTTCCGCGAATAGTCGCACAGTCAACAACCGATACGGTGTAGGATTATTCCTATACTACACGTATGCTACACTCTTCTTTTTTTGATTTTCTTTTTGTTTCCTGAGCCTACGCCTTCGACCATCTCCGTTTGGTTCCGTCGACTTCAGTCAACTTTGGCGAAAGCTGGATCGGCCACCCACGCTCTTGTCAACGTACTCAGTCGATATATTGGTTTCGAATGCTTGGCATACGCTTGGTCTCGAACTTGGTCGTTATGGTCGCTTCTGGTCTTTTGGCTCAACGTGGTTTCGTCCTACGTCTGCAGCGTTTCTGGTGCGCACATCTACGAACGCCCTCTTCAGATTCTGGATACAAACCACTCTGGTGTAGCATGCCAATTCGAGCAATAAATACAACACATCGCTCCTGGTACTGTTCTCCGAAAACGACCTTCGTTGGCAACTCGACGATCAACGATCGCTTTCCTGTTCGCCAATTCTTCCGTCCTACAATCGCTCGTCAGCTGATCAGTCCCACGATTCAAACCGCTATTTATCGAAAGTGTAAACCCTTTCTAGCGGGGGGCTCCTGTAGTGACTCACGTTTATCACGAGAACACGACTGGTTTAATAAAAACAATTATTATTATAACCAACTGTACCAGTGTTTGTTTTAACGTGCTTTTGTTTGACTGTGCTAATGACAGCTATTTTGTGCTTCCATTCTTATACTTACACTTTGATTGTAACTTCGCGCGAATTCGGTTACGTTCTGTAACCAAGCTTGTATCCTGGCACGATCTCGGTATCCTTTCGATGCCACGAGATCGCCAGCAAATAAACATCGACTTGGTCCATTAATTGCCTTCTGGTATTCGGCTTCTCGGGGATTTTATGGAGTCATTTGGAACGAGCTTCTTACGCCTTCTGATCTAATTGGCACGTGTTTCTTGGTAGCGGTGTTCGTAGTTAACCGCGACTCGACGCCACGCTACAACCTTATGTTCCTAACCCTAGCTTTCAGTTCCTGATTCTGTACAGGTTAAATGTACATTATTCTTCCTAAAAGTCATGCTTTTCTTTCTACTGTAAGTAGACAGATAGCTCAATCTTATGGATGCTGATCTACTAAGGCCGATCATACAAAGCTCAAAATTTGGTCACAAAGTCTTGTGAGTTTCTCAATGTTTTATTTGTCTTACCCTGAAATCTTTTTCTTTTCTTTTTTCTTTCTACAGTTTTATACCCTCTCATATCTTTTGATTTGCTATTAGTCCTTACTTTTTTAAACCATTAGTTATTTTCATAGCACTGTGATATACTATATGGACATCTAACGCCAAAAAAAGACTTTCCAACTATCTGATTTGCTTGTAACATGGACCTAGTAGAGACAGTGTATTCCAACTATGGGCTTTGATTAAAGCAGTATTCATACTTACCATAAACGTAAGAGAGCCTAACATCACAAAAAAGGGAGGGTGGCGTTACTGACCAGCAAACATGATGGTGGGGAGATAAATTCAACCCACCTATGTCTGTAGGGCAGAACATTTTATTTAATTACGGCTCCTTATGGTTTAGTGGGATGTCACGAACTTATGGTATTGAAGCTGATTTATCACTCAAAATACCTCTTTAAATCGTGTTACGAACGTTGAATTGGTTTCACTTCCTACCCAGAAATCCTATTACAAGCAAATTAGACAATTCGGTAGGACTCTAATTTATGGACGAGCCAATCAGAAGCGTTTAAGGAATTTCAAGGTCACGGCGCTAAGTTCAGTGCCAGATGCTCACATTCGATCGTTTGCAGCAGATTTTAGAGAATAGGTGATCGTTGAGAGACTACAGCAGATGGGACTATTAGGAAGCTCCTGTGTCTGTGACTGCGGCAATTAAGTGACGGCAGCACGATGTGCAGACTGTCCGCGATGACATTGTATTTCGTTGTACTATATGTTTTTAAAAAAATCTGCTCGAACTGGCACTTTTTTTGCCCGGTCACGGCTAAGGCTAAGACAAACCATGATAATCGTTGCAAATTGGATCATAAAGTCTCCAGTAACATTAGCTGCGGCTATACCGATGATTGGAAAGCGTATAGATGCCTCTCGAGACTTGGTTTTGTGCATCATGTGGTGGTGCACAAACGTCATTTTGTTGACCCAACGACGGGGGTCCATACAAACAACATTGATGGCATGTGGTCTAGGCTGAAGTATTTTTTAAGTTCCTACCACGGCTCCAGTGGACGATTATTATGGAGTCATATGGACGAGTTCTTATACCGCATCCACTATGATTTCAAAACTTCTGAACCTATATCAAACCTCAACAAGTTCTTAAATAATGTAAAAGAAGAATATCCATTGTAATTCATCACTTTTTTATAATATATTTTTACTTTATACTAACTCTCTTCTGATTGGCCAATGTTCTCAAGGTCACTTAAAAATTCGTTCAAAGGTCGTCCATAAAGTAGAGTTTCACCGACAATTCGCTAATATACGAGGCCTACTCAAGACCCTATGATACCTGAAAAAAAGTAATAATACGAAAAAAATGAAAAGGGCTCCAACTGCTTCGATAAAAAAGATAGCCAATTGTACATCACAATAGTGTTTCTAGCACCATAGGGTTACTGCCGGTCCCAAGCCCGGGTAAAGGAGGAGGGTTGGGCATGGGGTTAGCGTCCCCATCCCGTAGAAAACTAACTCGCTAAAAAAAACGCTTACCAGAAAAAATAATCCAAACCATTTTAACTCTGCCCTGGGAGTTAGAAGGTCTTCATTTAGAAGAATTATGACGCTTCATGGTGAAAGCCGAGTTCCTTCGGAAGCCACGAGGCCGATGCCCCTTCTAACAACCAGAGCAAAAATTTTTATAGGTACATGGAACGTTCGAACAATGTGGGAAACCGGAAGACCAGTCAAATATCAATGGAAATGAGGAGATACAACTTAGCAGTACTGGGAATCAGCGAAACCCACTGGACCCAAGCTGGACAGAAAAGGCTAGCTACGGGAGAGATGCTGCTATACTCCGGTCACGAAGAGGAAAATGCTCCACACACTCAGGGAGTCGCTCTTATGCACTTGTAGGATGGGAATCTCACGGATCCAGAATCATCAAAGCATCATTCAAAACAAAGAAGGAGGGGATCTTAATGAATATTATCCAATGTTATGCACCCACCAATGATAGCAACGACGAAATTAAAGATCAATTCTACGAGCGGCTGCAGTCAATCATAGAGAAATGCCCAAGAAAGGACCTCACCATTCTAATGGGAGATCTAAATGCCAAAGTCGGAATAGACAACACTGGATATGAAGATATTATGGGACGACATGGACTGGGAGAGAGAAACGAAAATGAAGAAAGATTTGAAAATTTGTGTGCATTCAACAAATTAGTCATAGGAGGCACAATATTTCCACACAAGCGTATACACAAGGCTACATGGATCTCACTGGACCACACCACAGAGAACCAGATAGATCATATTTGCATCAACAAAAAATTCAGAAGGACAATGGAAGATGTGAGAACCAGGAGAGGTGCTGACGTAGCTTCAGATCACCACCTAGTTGTAGCCAATTTAAAACTGAAGCTAAAAAAGAACTGGACAAGTGGACAAACAGCAATACAAAGGTTCAATACAGCCTTCCTTCGAGATACTGTCAAACTCAATGAATTCAAGATAGCTCTCAACAACAGGTTCCAAGCCTTACGAGATCTACTGAAAGAAGAAGAAACTACTATGGAGGACAACTGGAAAGGCATCAAGGAAGCATTAACTTCAACGTGTCAAGAGGTTCTCGGTCTAAAGAAATACCATCATAAGGAATGGATCTCTACAGAAACACTGGACAAGATCAAAGAAAGGAAGAACAAGAAGGCAGCAATAAACAACAGCCGAACACGAGCAGAGAAAGTCCAAGCACAAGCTGAATACATAGAAGCAAACAAACAAGTGAAGAGGAGCATTAGAGCCGACAAGAAGAAATACGTGGAAGAACTAGGAACGACGGCGGAAAGAGCTGCAAGGGAAGGAAATATGAAACAGCTTCACGATACAACGAAGAAACTAGCAGGGAAATACAGTAAACCAGAGAGGCCGGTCAAAGACAAAGAAGGCAAGCCAATCACCGAAATTCAACAACAGCGGAACAGATGGGTAGAATACTTCGAGGAACTCCTGAATAGGCCGGCTCCAATGAATCCACCGGACATCGAAGCAGCACACATAGAGCTTCCTATAGATGTCAATCCACCAACTACGGAGGAAATTAGAATGGCCGTCAGACAAATCAAGAACAAGAAAGCACCAGGACCCGACAACATACCAGCTGAAGCACTGAAATCAGACATCGAAGAAACCACAAGCATGCTTTATCTTCTATTCAAAAAGATTTGGGAGGAGGAACAAGTGCCGATGGACTGGACAGAAGGACACCTCATCAAGATTCCAAAGAAAGGAGATCTGAGCAAATGTGAAAACTACAGAGGCATTACACTACTGTCAATACCAGGGAAAGTCTTCAACAGAGTGTTGCTGAACCGGATGAAGGATGCAGTAGACGCCCAACTTTGAGATCAACAAGCTGGATTCCGTAAGGATCGGTCGTGCACAGACCAAATTGCAACACTACGGATCATCGTCGAACAATCAGTTGAGTGGAACTCGTCACTGTACATCAACTATGAAAAGGCATTTGACAGTGTGGATAGGAGGACGTTATGGAAACTTCTTCGACACTACGGAGTTCCTGAGAAGATTATCAATATTATCCGGAACTCATACGACGGACTACAGTGCAAGGTCGTGCATGGAGGACAGCTGACAGATGCATTCCAAGTAAGGACCGGAGTCAGACAAGGTTGTTTACTCTCTCCTTTCCTCTTTCTTCTGGTGGTCGACTGGATTATGAAGACCTCAACATCTGAAGGAAAACACGGAATACAATGGACAGCTCAGAACCAATTAGACGATTTGGACTTCGCAGATGACCTAGCCCTCCTATCGCATACACACGAACAAATGCAGATAATAACAGCCAGTGTGGCAGCAGTCTCTGCATCAGTAGGCCTCAGCATACACAAAGGGAAAACTAAGGTCCTCAAATTCAAAGCGGAGAACAGCAATCCAATCACACTTGATGGCGAAACTCTGGAAGATGTAGAGTCCTTCACATACCTGGGAAGCATCATCGATGGACAAGGAGGATCCGATGCAGACGTAAAGGCGAGGATTGGCAAAGCAAGGGTCGCATTCCTACAATTAAAGAACATATGGAACTCAAAACAACTGTCAACCAATATCAAAGTGAGAATCTTCAATACGAACGTCAAGGCAGTTCTACTGTATGGAGCTGAAACTTGGAGAACTACAACAACCACAATCAAGAAAGTACAAGTATTTATAAATAGCTGTCTACGCAAGATACTCAACATCCATTGGCCGGATACCATCAGCAATAGCCTTCTGTGGGAGAGAACAAACCAACTTCCAGCTGAAGAAATTAGGAAAAGACGATGGAAATGGATAGGACATACATTACGCAAATCGTCGAACTGCATCACGAGGCAAGCCCTAACTTGGAATCCTGAAGGGAAGCGAAAAAGAGGAAGGCCAAAGAACACATTGCGTCGGATAATAGAAGCAGATATGAAAGCGATGAATTACAACTGGACGGAGCTAGAAAGGATTGCCCAGGACAGGGTTGGATGGAGAATGCTGGTGAGCGGCCTATGCTCCTTCACGAGGAGTAACAGGCGTAAGTAAGTAAGTACGTATAATCCCATACTCTCATCTCCTTTCCGAATCGCCTCCATTTGTCAGTTGTATGTCCACTCACTTATCTTCTTTGACCTATTAAATGCTCTTTCTTAACAAATACCTTAACAAAAAAAAATTAGAATGAGTAATCATACCTTAAACATTCATTCATGAATATTAGCTACTCTGCCCCTCGTGTTTTCTTTTACTTGCTCCCTCTTTCAGCCCCCTTGTGATATGGAACGACAGATTTTATCCTACACCATCCTCAAAGCCTTAGACATTCCAAAGGGACATAAGGTTGCGACATTTAGAAGCTCCCACCTTCAATGGACCTATCGTTGACAATCAGTTGCACATTCGCAACGCAACTTCCGTGAAGCGCGCCAACTGTGATACTGATTAAAACCATCTACATTTATATCTTGTAAATTATCAACCCAGCTGTGTAATTTACTACAGTGGATATTGTATCATTTGTATCAATTTGATCTTGCCTGTAAACTGGCATGCCTCATGTAACAAACTGTTATTTGAGAATAAATTATTATTATTATTGTTATTATTAGCTTCTTTTGACCGACTGTCGGGACGACGTCACGAAAATCGATTACATGTCAACCTTAGGTAAAGTTTGTTATAGAGTTCTGACCTTTGTATTCCATATAGGTGACAAAAGTAAGCACGCGTCAGCTCAACTCAGACCTAACGTCTGAAAAGCAAATACGGAAGATCTTAAACACTATGCATATTAATTAAACTAGAAGATGGAGCCAGAGTTTCCAAATTAAACAGCTTGGGATCTATTTAAAAATTTATAATTAAAGTTTACTGCACCCTGCACCCCTTGAACTACACCGAGGGATCTGAAAAACTTTCCACAATGTTTCTGTAGGGAGGTGTCACGGGAGAACTGAAGACATTTGGCGGATTAAAACCTTTTGTTGTACATTAATAATTTACTGTGATTTTGGATGTAATTGTTTTACTTAACTTTTGAACTTGTTTGTTTATATCATTATTTCGGACATTTTAAGTTTGGTAATTTGGTGTTCTCTTTGTCTTTGGTTTGGTATTTGGAAGTTTTGCTCCGGGAACCTACAAAATTGAAGAATGACATTTGGTCGATTATTTGTGAATTACGAATAAATTTGGTATCTAAACTGGAACTTGGTTCTGTTGTTAATTTGGGTTCGTAATTTGCAAGTAGATCGATAGTCCGTACTTCAATAACTGGAACGAGCAAAACTTGGACGTAACATAAAGTTCTTCAATTTTTGGTTCTGTGTTTATACCTTGGATCAGTCTGGGCAGTAATTGGATCCAAATTCCTGGTCTTATTTGTTGATCTCGTTTGGATTGATTCAGATTTTTTGGTAATTGATTATTTGGAACAACGATAACGATGGAAACACGGAGCAGAAGGCTGAAGGAAAATGACGAAATGGATGGTAAAACTTCCAAAGCTGTTTGTGGTATGTCTGATGTTAATGATGATAAATGTGATCATGTTAGTCTTCACAGTATGTCCTCTAGCCAGCTAAGTACTTCTAGGCTAAAGTTAGATAAAGCATTACTGAGGAAAAGGAATTTAGAGGAGAGGCTTGAATTAGAACGGCAACTTTAGATGTTAGATCTACAAGAAGAGGTTGATATCGCTGAACTAGAATGCAAGGCTATCGAGAACGATGAACGATTACCCGTAGATAAATGTGGGATAAATGCTAAAGTGGAAAATTATTTGGATTGTGATACTGGGTGTAATAATCACTCAGGGGAGGTATGTAACATCTCAAAGGTCGATTGGGTTGGGGAGCTGAAGGACACGTTACATACAATGGTTAGTAACATGGTTTTACCTAAGATCGATATGATGTACTTTGATGGGCAACCGGGTCAGTATTACCGTTTTATTAGTCAGTTTAATAGCTTTATAGAGAGTAAATTGTCAGATAAGGGCCAATTGTTGTCGTATTTGTTATATTATTGCAAGGGAAAAGCCAGAACAGCAATTGAATCTTGCGTTTCTTTGCCCAGTCATTTGGGCTATGATAGGGCTAAACGAATTTTGTATGACTTATTTGGTAAAGAACATCTTGTTGCACGAGAACTAATTATTGAGTTATTAAACCATAAACCTGTCGGAGGATCAGCTGACGTATTATCTGACTTTGCGATTAAGTTGCGTAATGTATGTATAACATTGAAGCAAATGGGATATATGTCTGACGTTAATTCTACGGCTAATTTGGAGGTAATAGTTTCATGCCTACCACTAGAAGTGCAGAACAAGTGGGTGGAAGTCGCCGATAAGATCATGATGCATGGGAAGGAGTCGAGCTTTGAAGAATTTGTGGTCTTTGTAGAAGAAAGGGCCAGAATTGCCCGAACCCGTTATGGTAGATTAGTACAGTGTAACTCAAGGTTCGGTAAAAAGAATTCTGAAGGCCAAGCTGATAGGAGATCACGCTTTCATGCAATTAGACGAGACCCAAATAACTCAGTCAAGGTATCACGTTGTGAAATCTGCGTAGGTGATCATGAGGCGACAGATTGCCCAAGGTTAGCAAAATGAATGTAAGAGAAAGGAGGCAGGAGGTTAAAGACGTGGCCTATGTTACTTATGTTTGAGGAAAGGTCACATAGCTGTGACATGCAACTCAGGCATCAAGTGCGACGTTGAGAATTGGAAGATTAGGCATAATTCATTATTGCGTATTGATAGTATTGATAACCATGTGGTGAACCTAGTTAAGGATTGGAACTCCTCAAAGGTTTGTTTGGGGATCGTTCCAGTCAGACTATACGGTCCCAAAGGATGCTTGGAAACATATGCACTTCTAGATAGTGGTTCGGACACTTCTCTTGTATATGAAGAATTAATTAATCAGTTGGGTATCAAAGGTAAAGAGACTTCGATAAGGGTGGCGACTGTGAACGGAACCACCAATTGTGATTGTTTGGAGGTAAATTTAGAGGTATTTTCATTAGATGAACGGGGTTCTATAAGGATCAACAAAGTTTACACGACCAAGAAACTCCCTATCAATCATGCCGCACTTTTAACCGAACTCCAACTGAAACGGTTGAATCATCTAAAGGACATGACCCTTCCGAAATTGCAAAGTGATTTTGTAGGAATATTGATTGGGTGTGATGCTCCGGATGCACATTGGGTCCTGGAACAACGTCTGGGGGACAGGAAGCATCCGTTTGCTGTGCGTACTCATCTTGGTTGGATGATTATAGGTCCTAAGGGAGTATCAAGGTCTCTACATCAAGTTCAGTTGTGTCATTGTTCCACTAATGATATTTTGCGAGATTTAGAAAGATTATATGATCATGAGTTCGAGGATACAGATACGTTTCGTAATGGATATCCTGTCGAAAATAAAAAAGCTCTAGAAATAGTTAGCAGTTCGTTTAGATTGGAGGGTGGTCATTTCCAAGTTGGTCTACCATGGAAGTATGATAAGCCAAGACTACCGAATAATTTGGAACTAGCTGGACGCAGACTGGAATGCTTAAGGAAGAGGTTTATGAAAGATAACAGAGAAATATCAAGTTGTGATGAATGAACATTTAAGTAAGGGCTACATCATTGAAGCTAGTGAAGAGGGATTTGACTATGATTCTGTTTGTTGGTATATTCCTCATCATCCTGTTATCAACCCTAAAAGACCTGGAAAATTGAGAATTGTTTTTGATTGTGCGGCTGTCTATCAAGGTTGTTCTCTTAATGACCAGCATTTGAGAGGACCGAATACTGTAAATAGTTTAATTGGTGTACTTCTACGATTCAGATTAGGTAACGTAGCATTAGCTGCTGATATCGAAGAGATGTTTCTTCAAGTAAAGATCCCGAGACAAGACAGGGGAGCATTTCGTCTATTGTGGTGTGAAGACGGTGATATAAGACGAACGGCTAAAGAATATTGTTTAACAGTTCATCCGTTTGGAGCCGTGTCCTCCCCCTTTTGCGCCAATTTCGCCTTTAAGAAGACGGTAGATATATTCGGTAAGGAATTTAATGAAGATATTCAGGAAGTCGTAGATAAGAGTTTCTATGTCGACGACTATTTAGCCTCCATTGATAATGTACAGGATGCAATTGAGCTGGCAAAGGCCCCTGGTTCTCTCCTCAGAAAAGGTGGGTTTAGACTTACCAAGTGGATAAGTAACTGTTTACAAGTTCTCGAGTCAATTCATCCAGAAGAGAGAGCAAAAGCCGTAAGAAAGATTGACTTTGAGAGACCTCCTACGGAACGCACGTTGGGATTATTTTGGAATACTATGGTTGATTCGTTTGAATTTAAAGTTCGCATACCGAAACGCTCCCTCACTAGGTAGCCTCACTTTACTATCCTCTGGGATTGGTAGCACCGTTTATACTTCCCATGAAGCAGTTACTTCAGCGTTTAGGTAAACTGGCACTAGGGTGGGACGAAGAGATTCCAAATGAGGAAAGCAAGCGTTGGTTAGAGATTTTAAGTGGGTTGAGAACGTTGGCTTTCCACGTCGTGTATTGTTTCCGCAGTCAGATCGTTCGGTCCTGGAACTTCATATTTTCAGTGATGCCTCGGAAACTGGATATGGTGCAGTGGCACACGTTCGCTTTTACATTTCTGACACTGAAATATGTTCTCGTCTTGATACGGCTAAGGCAAGAGTAGCCCCGTCGAAGGTCCAAACTATACCGCGCTTGGAACTTACGGCAGCAGTTTTGGCAGCTCGCATGGGATCCCAGCTGCAGTCAGAATTAGATATTAAGTTTGCAGAGGTTAATTTTTGGACGGATTCCATGATTGTCTTACACTATATTAGAAATGAGAAAAGCCAGTTTAAAACATTCATAGCAAATCGAATTTCGACTATTCACAGTCTTACTAAGGTGGACCAATCGAGATTCGTACCTTCTAAAGAAAACATATCAGACTTGGCATCCAGAGGGGTCAAGTTTGACATTGATGATGTCAAGGCATGGGAGGAGGGTCCACGTTTTCTCA